AAAAATTCATATTTTTATATATTTTTGTGTTTGTTTCGACATTTTATAAATTTTTATGATTTTTTTATTAATTTTGTGATTTATATATATATTTGATAAAAATTTGAGTTATGACACAAGTAACATGTCGATATCTACTAGTATTTATAAACCTCCCACTAGTGGGCACAACAAAAACATGATTATATTGAAGACTAAAACAAGCTAACAAGTATATCTCAAGTAAATGTTCTTATTTCAAGAAAAACAAGCATCTTAAAATCTAGCAACGTGTATCACAAACTTTTCATAAATAAGCATGCTTAATCATATAAAATCCATCTTAAATTAAAACAATATTTAATTATGACTTTTAAATAAAATGGGTTTCCAATCCCGCCATCATCTCAAAACTAATAGAATCATGCTTTAAAAATTTTTGAAAATTGTGTAAGGACTCAACACCTTCAATTAGGCACCAACACCTTCTGTCAAGCATAGACTGCAATAATTGTGTCGGGTTTTTGGCCTTATAAGCAATTTCTGTTAATGACAAAATAACAGTCTTGGTCCTTAACTTCTAAACTCCACTCAACTTAATCCTCAGCTTTTTGATCTCTACAATTTGCTTCTAACATTATGATTTCTTCCAATTAAGTCTTTTCCTACACAAAAAATGAAAATTATGTAAAATCAAGTAAAATCTCATAAGACTCATCCAAATATCAATAATATCAAAGAAAAATTTTCATATTAATATCTATATAAATTTAGCTCAACAAATTGACCCAAACTTAAGTTTTACTTGTCCTCGAGTAAAAAAAAAAAAAAAAACAAATAACAAAAAGGAAAATAAAACTTAACTCACTTTCGTAAGAATCACGATTGCACTTAGCATGTGCAACAAGCCTTTAAACCCCTAGGTCACCCTAGTGGATGAATTGTGTCTCGTGAGGGTTTTCAACGAATCTACCCACAAAATCCCAATGCAAGAATGCAACTATACGATATGCATGCAAAGAAAATTTAGGAATTAAAGTTCAATTATATACAAAATCTCAAATATTCAAGAGTTTTCATATACTCACTTAAAGTTTAATACTCCACCCTATTTCTCACACCACTTGTCAAAAGATTTAGCTCATAAGCATTTACTCTGTGTGTGTGTGTGAAAATTTATAGTAAGAAGTCTCGAGTTTAGACCTTCACATTTTAGCACTTATTATTATTTTTTTTCTTTTTCTCCTTTTTTTTTTTTTTTTTTTTTGTATGTGAAGTTTCCTTAGGCTTTCTAAGTTTCCCATGTAACAAGCTTTTTATTAATGACTCCCAAACCAATTGGCTTTAGGCCATTAGGTGAATAGACACCCTTAACAACACACTTACTCAAGTAACAAAGGTCACAAAACATTCAACTTCTCTTCTTTTTTTTTTCTCTTTTCTCTTTTCCTTTTTTTTTTTCCA